TTTTTTTGACAACTACATTATTTTCCTGTCTGTTTTCTTTGGTTTTTGAAGAGACTTTGACATTAAAACTCCCTCCATTCTTATAAAACCAGGTGAATTTATGCAATTTACAATATATACCAGATATGACTCCTATAAAATGTTTTTTAACACTCAGAAAGGAGACATAAAGAATAACTACCAATATTAAATGACAGTAGTATTTGTAAATCACATATCTGCCACTTCCAGACAGATCTAAATTTCCTGAACTTTTAATATCAGACTCTGTTATTATATATGCAAGTATAATCATAAAACTGGGATAAAACATTATTCTCCATCAGGTCAAATAGAGGGCATTAGTGTGCCTCTTTGGTCAAAGGTCCTGGGACAGTCAGTGCGGTTGGACTGGATGTTAGTTGTTAAGGAAAAATCACTGATAAAGTGGAAGTAAAGTAGGGAAGGAAAGACATGTTAGAAACCAAGTTACTCTATCATTTTAAAGCTTGTAAAAGAACAACAACTTAACTATACATCATAAATGGAAACATAAAAACTGCCCTCCAATAACATTTGATTTTGAACATAATCAACATTTAACGTAATTGCATCATTTTGTTTCATGTTCTTTTTTATTTACCACAGCCAATGGTAAGAATTTAAGGGCCAAGAATTATTTTTTGGGTGGGATGCTGAAGTCAGAAGGTACGGCCTACCTCTAGCTTAAACCAAATACACAAATGAGAGCTTATTTATAGAGAGAAAGTTCATGTTGTCTGAGTGTTGAGGAAAAGCTAATGTTGGTTTTGTAGAACGTTAAAGCTTTATATAGTTGGAGTGGTCTTTTATACCACACTATGGTCAGAGACCTGGCACCAGGAGGTTATTGAGATCTGGGTTTATTTTGAAGATGCCAGAGACAAAGAACTTGACCAAACCAGAGTCCACAAAACAGTCCTGCTTTAATTAGTGTTGCAGATCAACTCTCTGCTTCTAGGTGTGTCTTATGCTGTGTATCAAAGAAAGAACCTTTGCTGGCCCTCTGTTAGTTTCTCTCTCATCCCTTTTCACTTAATGCTGGCATTAAGGCAAAATACAGTAGTAGTGGATGGCTCCTTTTTTAATGAATGAATAAATAAAATGTTTATTTTCTTAATTGTTTTAAGTTATTGATGCAGGTATACCTTTATTTCATTATCAGGTTCCGCTATGATGAAATGTGTATTTCTGTATTGATATTGCTTTCCTTTTCCCCTTTGCCCCCCTAAAGAATTGGAGATGCTTTTATATGGTCTTTGGTTTTAGCTCTTTTTCTGTTTTTAATTTTAAGCAAGGAGGACTGAAGTGTTATGTTTGATTTGTTTCTTAATAAACTTATTACAAACCATATTCTCATTCATTGTGTGTGTGTATCCAGTGGTAAAATGAATTTTTCTCTGTCACATAGCAGATCATTACCATTTTATGTCCTGAATTACCTAAAAACCTAAATCACTGCTTCACACATCAGTTCATGTTAACTCAAAAAGGTAGTTCCACAATAATTTCCGTCACATTTCCGAGCGTGTTGTGTTTATTAAAATTAAATGTTCAATTTGGAATAAAATGTAAATGTTTAAAATAAAACTCCTTTGTGTTGCTATGGCTAATATTAGACAGCTAATACTTGTACATGTTTTGTAACATAATTTGACAATATCTAAAAATTTGTATTTTTTTGTGTATTTTCATAATATCTTGTTATATAGACTAATATTCTGCCACAATATTTGGCTGCTATTAATTAAAGTACATGACATTCAGACAAAAAGCTTCCATGGATGTTATTTATAAGCTGAAACAAGTAAATGAAAGTTCCTCTTCAGGAACTCGAGCTGCGTCGAAAAACGCTAGGGGAACGCCCTTCAGCGTGACGGGCTCTGAATCTCGTGTGTAATCAGATCAATAGATGGGCGAGACATCACGGCGGGTGACGTAATGACCAGGAGGCTATAAAAGCACGTGCGGTGAGACCAGCGTCAGCTTTTTGTCATTCGGAAGGCACTCTTTGCTGAGGGTGCCTTCGCAAGTGTTCCCCGCGGTGCGGGTCCCGCTTCCGCCGAGGCGGAGCGGCGATTACGCTCGTGGGGTTCACAGCTGGAACTGGCTGA